TCTTTAGGAATACCATGGTGAATGGGAGATATGGCTGGAAGCCTTATCTTAGTCAATCTGTAACCTGGTAGCCTCACCTGTTTCAAGACCCAAACTCTGCCTACGATAGCTGGGAACTTGTTGCAGATCTTTTTCTGGATGGCTGGCCCCAGTACCTCAAGTTGATTCGTATTTCTTTGGTTTGTTTTCCAATATCATTAGGTACAAAGGATATCTCCGTCTAGGAAATTCTAACTGGTCTGAATTTATGACCATTTTGCATTTTTGTTTATACCCTTCCCAAGAGTAATCAAGTTATGAAGGCATCACACTACTTAAGAACGCCAATATCAAAATGTAATTCTGATACATTACTTTCCACAGCGACTTTATATCGGCTGTACCTTTCATGTCACTTTCTGATTTGCATTTTGAAAATTGCTGTAAAATAACGTATTAAACCTTCTGTATTTCAAGATTCTGAATAGATGAACACACAATCTCCAGAACATCACAACAATAAGAGACTCGTGAAAAGACAAATGTGTTGATCTGTTGTAGATTAAGAAAACGAGACAAGACTCTTCATTATAATAAGCAAAAACAAACAATTTTAAATAAAAGCCAATGCACTGGGTTCGGGATATTAGGTTGAAGCTGAGACATTGTTATTAATCTTATTGAAAACGTTTAAATTGTTATGAAATAAAGATAACATTTTGTTAACGAAACTAAATTTTGAATATTCATTTAAAAGGTAAGAGCTGCAAATGTGGTGAACAGAAGGGACATTAACTGTAAGGGATACAAATATACACGAGACTTCACTAGTATGTTTCACACCATCTTTAATGTTTGAAAAGAATCACTCTCAAAGTGCCAGTACAACATTTTACACTCCATATTCTCTATATAACTAATCAAGAGAAATTTTATGACAACAATCCGGTCATTTCGGTACTTAACATGACAGTTGTAAAATATTTTTCAGTTAAGATGATGTGAATATAACGTAACTATTCTATAAAACGGCATCTGATACAATAGGGTAATTAGCATCTAAAGATAGGTCAATACATGACTGAAATTTAATACCTTACGTTCTACACTATATAGAACTCTAGGGATGTTTTCACATTTTCTTACCATGCTATAAATATATATATTAAATTAATATCAAGATTACAATGTGAAACAGCTAAATCACATGATAATTAAATTTTTTAGTTAAATTGAGTACTGACGTCTGTAACGAATTTATTATTATGTATTTATTTTTAATATGAACATTGTTTGGATTGAATTTGTATTTAGAAATATGCGTGACTTGTGGTATCAGATATGTGTTGCGTATAACGAATATGTTATATTCTTGATTTATTTTAATGTCAACGTTTGTTTCGAACAAGCGCATATTTGAGGGCGTGTCTAGCTTACCGTGTTAGTTACATATGGCAAAACTCCCGCCAATTCTCCAAGATTGTAGAATATTTTTGAACATAAAAATCAACAATATATCCACTTCCATAACAGGTATTGTTCGAACGTTCGAGAAAACATTGCTTGCTCGTATAAAAAAACAAGGCCAAAGAAAAAATAGAGAACAGAGAAGAGACAAGTCTACTAGGAAACTGCTATAACCGTGTATGCTATATACAGTGATTTTGCTAACCCTTATCAACCGGAAAATATACGACATTTGACCAGGAACAGTTATAAATTTCGAACGTCAGTGAATTATCATCAAATGTTAATATCTTTCCAAAAATATTACTGATTTCTCAACGGATATTAGTGGTTTTCTGAAAATATTATCTTACTTCAACGGTCCAACAATTCAGTGACTGACAAAGCTAACTGTTTCTCGACAGTTGCAGGTACATCAACTTCAAGCTAACTCGCTGGATATCAAGGAGACTCTGAACTAGGAAGACGATTTTACGCTATTTGTAAGTTAGGTAAATACCCGTTTATGACACTTGGTTTGTAGTAATTAATCATAATAATTGCTATTGTAAATTATAGTGTTGTATATATTTATATATATTAAAACATATTTGTGTCAAAACAAAAACGGTGTGAATCAATCTTGTTGGGAAATAGCGTGAATTAAATAGAATATCGGCATATTTCTAAACACTAAATCCAGGGTACAGTTCAACTATTAAACGTTAAATTATTTAACTCGGCTTTGGATTATTTCAAATTCTTAATACTTAACACGCCACAAAGTTATACAAATTTGAAAACAGGACAAGACTATGAACAAACAAAGTATTCAAGAGATGCACAAGTACCAAAGTGACCTTGACTATCATTTAAACACCTCTGTAAATTGATATGATACAAAAGAATAGAAAATCTTTTAGTAGAACAAAATACAAAATAAAACTTTTTTTGATAAAATTAAGGAATATAAAAATATAATTTTACAGAGAATACAATACAAACATACTTCATAGAGTGACGAATGTCAAATGAATACTTGAAAATAACATTTTTTAGTAAAATATAAAGGGAAGCTAGAATAGGAAAATTGATATTTTATTTATAAAGATGACTAGTATCGTAGACTCATTCATAAGTAAATACAACCAATAGTGCTTTTTAATATCATAGAAATACAATAATATAATATTCTTCTTAGTATCTGCTTGTTTGATAATTTCCGGTAGAAATTCTTTCAGGGGAACTTCAGAGATACAAGTCTTTTCTTGATTAAACCAGTTTATTTTTTCTCGATACAAACTTTAGTACACAGTAATTCCACAGTCAGTACGTTTCTCGTCACTATAAAACTTAACAACTTTTATAATACATACTAT